GCGAAACCCAAAAGACAACACAGGGTGGCAATTCTCCTCTCTACACATTCTCTAGTAATAATACAAAAATGATAAGGAGGCCCCCTGGTGGCCATAGGGCTCCATACAGCTGCATATGTCTGTTACCAACATCAATAACACTGTTTAAATAGACTTGAAAAAAGGTTTAAAAACAAAGCACCAAATAACAGACGCTGCAGTCAGGAGGAGGCAGAGAGAGCTTAGTATGATTTTAACAGTATTCTAAAAGCTAACAGATGTGCTCGTACATTTAGGCTGTTTAATTTGATGATTTTATCCTGAAATGATAGTGGAAGGTTTGGGTACACCTGCCACAGTAAAAACATCCTTCTTTTTATTGGTTATTTTCATGTACACTGCTGTTCAAAAGTTCAGAATCACTCGTCATATTAGTCATTTTTATTATTTTATATACAATAACAACTTACATAATGTAGATTTACATATTATAAATGACTCACCCAAAGATATTTAAGATGTTCAAGTTATTTAAGATATTTCAAGCATTAGGATCAACAAAATATTATTAAATGATAATCACAAACATTAATTTTTAATTAAAACACAAAATTTTAACACCACTTTTGAAAAACGACACATCTGAATATTAAATTATTACTGGATATGAAATGATAACGTAATTCTTGGTGCTATAGATCTTTCTGAGTGATTTCACAGTGCTGGTCAGCTCTGTTGGTCATTATGGGAACATCGAAAAACATCTTTTTAACAATTTAGTGTCCTAATAATTATGTGAGATTTGTGAAGTTGCACTGTACAAACACATCAGAATCATTTCATCAATTTTTGTTCAGGAAATAAGTTTTATTTTACTGGGGAAAAGAAAATCTGTCAGTGTTTGTGAGCAGCGCTTAAGCGTCTCCTCTCAGCTGCAGAGGATTCAAACAGCACCATTATCGTGAGAGAAGCTGAAGCTACGTTAGCAGCTCTGAGGTAAATTCAAACATGTCCTAAATGAGGTGCAGCTACACAAAAACATCAGGTACTGTATTTATTTATTAGGCAGGGATGCATCAGAGACTATTAGCCTTCAGCAGGAAGCTAAACACAAGCTACAGTGAGCACTGTTAAAATAGCTATTAGCCTTGAAGCTAGCGCCATGTTAACTCCGGTGTTTTGAGATTTTTTCTCTCTTTCACTTTTTATAGCTTTGCTTCGACAATTTGATGATAACTGAATTAATCTCTACCATATTTGCTGCAGTTTCTTAGAAATGTTAATGTTTGTGCCTCGTATTCAGCAAACTAACCGATGTTAGCTTCCTTAGCTAGCTAACCAATGTTAGCTTCTTTAGCTGGCTAACCAATGTTAGCTTCCTTAGCTGGCTAACCAATGTTAGCTTACTTAGCTAGCTAACCAATGTTAGCTACCTTACCTAGCTAACCAGTGTTAGCTTCTTTAGCTGGCTAACCAATGTTAGCTTCTTTAGCTGGCTAACCAATGTTAGCTTCCTTAGCTGGCTAACCAATGTTAGCTTCCTTAGCTGGCTAACCAATGTTAGCTTCTTTAGCTGGCTAACCAATATTAGCTTCCTTAGCTGGCTAACCAATATTAGCTTCCTTAGCTGGCTAACCAATGTTAGCATACTTAGCTGGCTAACCAATGTTGGCTGACCATAGATATTCATTCCTGGATGCCGCGTTGTCTGTTGATCTCTATCTGTGGCGATACGTCTGCGCAGCCGCCATGTTTGAGAGGTCAAGATCCACTTGTGAACAGATTCTCTTGTATTCAGAGACGACGAGTCTCAGGATTAAATCAGCCACAACTTCTTTATTAGATGGTGCAGCTGTCACTTTCTGCTGCCTGAAGCTGCACGATTTAAGGTGGAACGGGAAAATTCAACCAAGAAGCTGGCTGATGCACCATTTAAGATGGAACGGGAAAATTCAACCAAGAAGCTGGCTGATGCACCATTTAAGATGGAACGGGAAAATTCAAACAAGAAGCTGGCTGATGCACCATTTAGGGTGGAACGGTAAAATTCAAAGGAGAGCTGTCAAATAAGAAGATAACTTCAGGTTCATGTGAGAAGGTGCCAACATTAATCTATTATGAATATCTAAATGGATTAAGGAATGCTATAATTTACCAAGCTACAAAGCTTTAACCATTACTGTAAATAAATAACTACTACATAAAGTTTAGATCCCCTGAATAGACTATTAAATGAAATAGGCTTAATATAAAACCAGAGGAAAAACAATCACAATCCGCTCTGTAACGGTACTGAATGGAGTCCAGCAGCGATGTTGACCTCCACAAAATGGCGGCGTCGTTGACGTGCCTGGCTGGACCCAACTAAATACGTATATCTATGTAGCTGACTTTAGCTAGCTAACAAATGTTAGCTTACTGTAGCTAGCTAACAAATGTTAGCTTACTGTAGCTAGCTAACAAATGTTAGCTTACTGTAGCGAGCTAACAAATGTTAGCTTACTGTAGCTAGCTAACAGGGGCTAGAAAACCAAGAAATTCCTGAATGGGAATGCTGAAACTGGAAAATTAAGAACTCGCCTCATTGTAACATCTGTTTTATTTGTAATGTATATGTGCTGTTTGTGTTATTGTTAAACTGGATATTTTACTGAACTTTTGACACACACACACACACACACACACACACACACACATACACACACACTCACACACACATATTCACTTACACTCTCACTCACACTCACACACAGACAGACACACACACACACAGATGTGTCTCCTTTAACCACACATGTGGACTGGTAGGAGGGGCATGCACAGATTGAGCAAACACCTAAGGCTTAGCCTGAGATAAGAATATTTTCATATAAATGAAGCTGAGAAAATTTACTGTATTGCATAAGTAAATATTATTTAATGCAATACCAGCATATATTATTTCCATATTTAATATTTATTCAAATATGTCTGTTGGGGGAAAGTGAATTTTAACCCCTTATAATCCCAGATTTATTACATGCTAAGGCTTATTAAAGCAATAAGCCAAGAGAGGCTGTGCATTATGGTCTCAAGTGGCTTATTGCTTTTGTAAAATGGTGACCACCATAAACTATGATAAAATACAGACCTTTTCAGACAATAACTTGAGTTATTATCAATAATAATCAACATAAACAAGTATTCAGTCGCCCCTCGCTGTATATTGCAGTGATTTCATAAACTTTTTAACCTTTTGTTGTATAACAAAGAACATATGACAACAGAACTGTTTAATGTAAAATCTTTCACTTTGTAAGTAATTGTTGGTCACCAAATCACCACCGTGAGTCTTATTTGGCTCCCTGCTCCCTACATAGTGCCCTACCTAGTAATTTAAACACTGGATCCTGCAGCCCAACAGTGAATAATATAGCTAAAAATAGTCATTTGAGATTCAGCAACATTCATACTCGATAAATGATGCACTGTTTGGCTGTGGAGGCGAGAACTTCTAAACTTTCATAGCTAGAACACTATTTAGGGAGTACAGAGCCGTTTGGGATTCAGCCTGGGTTTGACGTGACTTCTGACTGAAACATGAACATCTGAAGTGTGTAAAACATTCAAGTGACATTTTTAGATTTGATACTGCCGTTTTACAGTTAATCACGACTGTAATTACTTTTATTTAAGCCTGTGATGTTAATGATGGGGTTGTTTAGGCTGTTGGCTCTTTTAGCCTGTTAGCCAGCTGACCAGCCTGGTTCTAGATAAGAAAATAAGGTGCCAGTCCCTCAGTTTAAACAGAAAACGGGTTCTTACTTCATCTGTACACTCGGTGGTTCCTGCAAACAGCATTGAAGTCAAAGATTTTTCATTAACAGCACAAGAATTTTTCGTGCCGTGGCGCAGTGATACACTATTCAGTTGTTGTGATGTGGTCATAGGTGGGCTAATATCATGGACTTTACAACGGCTTCGAACGCGGCTCAGCCAATCAGATTTTAGGACCGGAACTATCTGTTTTATACCATTCTGTACGTAGAGGGACTTCAATGCAAACTGGCTGAACTATTGAAATGTTAACAGTGTCCTCTTAAGTTTTGGTGATGTTGCACTCACAGGTAAACTTCATACACACACACATTTTCTAAGTCACTTAACCTTCTGTGTCGCGGACGGGAGCTGGAGACAAGTAAACGAACTAGTATGAAATCAGATTTGAGGCATTTTGACACCTTGTTTCACTGTCGTGCTCTGACACACCCTATGCACTTTTCACTGTCTTGTCCTGGTGAGAGTAATCTTGGTAATACATTCATCTCAGTATTTAGGCATATTCGTCATAATGGCCTCAAGTGTTAGCATTACATCAAGGCATGTTTCATGACATTATGGTTTCCACACTGGTGAAATGTTCAGTAAAACTAGAGTGTCTGTGGCTCTTTTTGGTGTATTAAACAATGAGAGGGCTGCACTGTTCAGCAAAAAATCTGATTTACAAAATCTTCTACTTACCCAGATATTTGGTATCCAAATTTTGCTTGTTTGGTTTAGCGCTGGAGCTGCAAAGCTAATGTTGATTAACACTAGAAGCCAAAGTCATTGAGATCTTTTCTGCAAATACACCCCCAGTACATTTGTCAGCCTGCTCAAAATGCATGCGGGTCTCAATTAAGGACGCACAGAGTTGTCAATGTGGTTTAAGACACAAACATTGTGAATGAACAAAACCTAACCCTAGCTCAACGCAGCCGGCAACATTCCTTTAATAAGGTGGCAAAAAACATCAGGTACAGTATTCATTTATACAGTAATGTATAAGACCAGTGTTGGGGGGTCCCATGTTGGCTGACTACTCCAGTGTTGGCTAACTGCTAACTGCTAATATATTGTATTTAGTTGTATTGTATGTGTGTGTTTTTTCGGTGATGTCAGCCATTCCTTCTCTTCTCTCTCTCTCTCTCTCCCCACCCTCTCTCTCTTTACCACACTTTTAAACAAACACAGAAATGGGAAGCCACTCCTACTCAGTTTGGAGAAACGAAACTGATCTCAGAGTGCTGCTCTCTCTCTCTCTCTCTCTCTTAGGTTGCAGGAAAATGGCAGAGGCCAGTATTTCAGTAGATCAGGACCAGTTCAGCTGTCCAGTCTGTCTGGATCTGCTGAAGGATCCAGTGACTATTCACTGTGGACACAGTTTCTGTATGGTGTGTATTAATAAACACTGGAATCAGGAGGATCAGAGGGGGGTCTACAGCTGCCCCCAGTGCAGAGAGACCTTCACTCCGAGGCCTGTTCTACGCAGAAACAACATGCTGGCTGAAGTGGTGGAGAAAGTGAAGAAGACTGAACTCGAATCTGCTCCTCCTGCTCACTGTTACGCTGGACCTGGAGATGTGGAGTGTGATTTCTGCACTGAGAGGAAACTCAAAGCCGTCAAGTCCTGTTTGGTGTGTCTGGCGTCTTACTGTGAGACTCATGTTCAGTCTCACTATCAGTCTCAAACGTTTAAGAAGCACCAGCTGGTCAAAGCCTCCACACGACTGCAGGAGAAGATCTGCTCTCAACATGACAAACTGATCGAGATCTACTGCCGTACTGACCAAAGCTGCATCTGCTATATGTGTTTGATGCATGAACATAAAGGCCACGATACAGTTGAAGTTACAGCAGAGAGAAAAAAGAAACAGGTAATGAATAGAAATTGATTCAATTACATTGCTGATCAGTTGTATTAGTCAATTACAATGTTTAAGCTGTCGTATCAATTGAGTTCAAACAATTGATTAATAAATAATTTGTAGGCAAGGAATTGTTAAAGAAATGTATTGTTCAGCTCAGCACTGGTGATAAAAAAATAAACCTTTGACCAGCCAATACTCCAGCAGTTTGACCCCTGTGTAATGCTCACATGACAATGCATAAACTCTGTAGAACAAGGGTTAACTTGAACTCTTAAGTACATACAATTTTTCCCCTCTCAGAAACAGCTAAAAACGAGGAAGAAGAAATCCCAGCAGAGACTCCAGGAGAAAGAGAAGAAGCTGCAGGAGCTGAAACAGGCTGTGGTCACTCTTAAGGTGAGTACTGGGCAGAGATCTGCTGGAGCAGCTGTTTCACAGCTCACTCAGACTCTCCTCCAGTCAGACAGTGAGGAGTCCAGTGTTGGACACTTAGAGATCCTACACAGCCACAATGTGGACAGTCAGTCATCACAGAGTCCCAGTGAGAGAGTGACTGATAGCTGGTGTTTAAATGGAGCTCCATCTTGTGTGTTTGTGTCCTAACAGCGCTCTGCACAGGCAGCAGTGGAGGACAGTGAGAGGATCTTTACTGAGCTGATCCGCTCCATTGAGAAAAAGCGCTCTGAGGTAACAGAGCTGATCAGAACTCAGGAGAAGAACCAGCTGAGACAAACTGAAGAACTCCTGGAGAACCTACAGCAGGAGATTGATGATCTAAAGAGGAGAAACACTGAGCTGGAGCAGCTTTCAGTCACAGAGGATCACATCCACTTCCTCCAGGTAACAATCACTCACCTACAGAGGAACCTGCTCCTCAGAGAGGCTCTAAAATGGGTTTCCATAAACATTAATTAAAGGAATACTCCAGGATTTTTCAGCCTAATCTGATGAATTTGTTTCTTACTGTTGTTACCATGGACAATAAATTTGACATGTTTGCCTTTACTTAGACAAGAACAGTCAACCCACTGACTCATAGTTGTAACTGAAGCCAGAGGGCACATGCTGAATTTCAGTGTTAAATATTTGAAATATGTAAGTATATATATATATATATTCAATTTGGAACTAAAACCATTAAATTGTAAAACTAGCGTTGTAGTCAAGACTGCTAGATTGGAGTCCGAGCCTACAAGACTTTTAGTAATCAACAATTACTAAAGACAAGTAACATCTAACTTACCCAAAGTCATCTGAACTTAAACTACATCCATTTTAATTATTCAGTGAAAACATAGTAATAATAATAACCTTCCTATCTGCTCTCAGGGAATGTTTCCATTTTTGAATGAACATAAAAAAAACAAGTAATACTTAGTTAAGCCATCATGGAACGGATCAATTAGATTCTAAATCAACAGATTTTATTGCATAACTTTAAACATGACCAATATTGTTGATTATGTGCAAAAATAAAAAAATATTTATATCAAGCACATTGATTGCTCTGGCAAAATGCGAGCTAGTTTATATTTTTAGAAGTGAATACATACCGCTGGGCTCCACCTGCATGAGAACTGAAAATGAGTAACTACGACTGTTCAGCCTGTCATCAAGCACTTGGTAGCTACCAAATCAGACTTCTCATTAGATGAGTAAGAAAAAACGTTTTTAACCGGACTCAAGTACTACAACACTCGTAAAGACTACCGCCCACACCAGACACTGTTGTTCATTTTACACTCTACTTGTTTCTATTTAGTGGGATGAAATATGCAATTATTCACTGGACTGACTCGTCACAAACTTTAGTTTGTGGCATATTTCACTCAGTTGTTGCTATATTTCATTCAGTTTTTGCCATATTACATTCAGCCACTGGCATATTTCACTCAGTTGTTGCTATATTTCATTCGTTTTTTGCCATATTACATTCAGCCACTGGTATATTTCACTCAGTTGTTGGTATATTTCATTCGGTTTTTGCCATTTTCCACTCAGTCACTGCCAAGTTTCACTGTAGGTAGGCTTTTAGCAAACACTGTTTGCCTAGCTAGTTAGCCAACTACTGACCATGTTACAGTACTGTCCACAATAATCCATATTAGATCTTTTGTGACAAAGTTTACACTGAAGGGTCTGTCAATCTAAAGTCTTAAAGGGAAACAGACAAATGCTAATCATCTGAAACCTCAGCTATGTTAGCCTAGTCACAGCATAACTTGCTTCACCGTCAACTTTTAGCTAGAAAACAGCTCATTTGTGAAGAGTTAGTTAGTTAGCTGATACCAAACCTGATAAATCCACTAAATGCTGTTGATTATTTTATTAAATCTACATGATCACAGTATAAAATGAGCCTGCTCCAATGGAAAACATGTATGGACATATATTTTTGTATATGTGAAATACATGTCAAATACATTGCAATCCACATCAAAATACATTCCAAACACTAAAATATATTTCAGAATATATTGCCATATTAACCAAATATATCGCTGTTGTCGGAACAAAACCTCGTGTCTCCATTTTTGCTGATTTTAATTTTTTTTACATAATTTGAAAATGCATGTTGGCCTTTATATTGTGTGTAAATTTCATGAAGGATGGACCAAAATAAATGCCCCAAAATGACTTGGAAATAAGGTCTGGTTCCATTGACTTACATTGAAAGTAATGTAGGTTTTTTCCTTCTCCTGTAACGTTACCATTTTGGAGATACGAGGTTTTCTTCCAACAGCAGCAATATTTTAAAATGTATGGGGAAATATTACACCTATGAATGGACCATATAAAAATAAGTGTATGTAAATGCATTTATCAAATACATTTGAAAATGTATGAAAATAGCTGAAATAGCAAAACAAAGCAAAACACAGAAGTCAGTACCAATTAGTTATATCTGTGTCTTTGTTAAAACTACATACAATTGAAAAAAATAGATATTATAACAAATACAAATAAATACATTTAAAAATATATTTAACTAATATAATTTTGGGGCCATTTACATACGTTGCAAAAATCTATTTGATAAATACATTTGGAATATATATTTTTTTTCTTATTAGTGGGCTTGATGTTTATCTTCGCTCTCACTGCGATGCTTCCTAATGTTGTGTCCAAACAGTTGAATGAGACTTTTCTCTCTGCTTTCCTCCATTTGCTCTGGTCTTTGATCTGGTGGTCATGTAGATCCACATGATGGTTAGCTCTGCAAACCTATTTAGTGAGGACATGGGCTACAGATTAGCCAAAATCAAAGAAAACAGGTACGAAAGGAAGATTCATTCAATATTCAGAAACAGCCTAGACCAACCCTGCCACAATGTTGGACTGCCCATAAGCCACTTCGCCACCGTGCCGCCTTAATGGCAAACAATAAATATAAATATTGTTTACCTGTATCTTATCTCCAACCCTGCATGCCTGGTCCACTGGTATCTAATGCAGCTTACTACACAACTTGCTGATGCTGCACTGCAAAAAAATGCTATCTTGTCAAGTGAAATTATTGTAAATCTAGTCAACATATCTAATATCTCTCATGTTAAGATTGTTGTAAGCTTATTATAAAAGTCAATTACATATTTCTAGACATTTTTTTTGCCTGTTTTAAGTCATTTTATTAAGAAAAATGTCAGTATATTGGCAGATAATTTTGCTTCTTGTAAGCAAATTTCTTAGGAATAAAAGTAGAATTGTCTGCCAATATACTGACATTTTACTTAATGAAATGACTTAAAACAAGTATCATCTGCCCAAATAGAGCGAGACTATCTGTATTTATATTCTGTGTTTTGGTCTAACTTGGTCTGAGATGAGATCATCTTTTACTTTTGTAGACCTTTATCTTTCTCTATTCTGTTGTCTCTCTGTAGAGTTTCCAGTCTCTGAGTGTCTCTTCTGGAGGTGAGGACTCCTCCAGCATCACTGTCCATCAACATCCCTCATTTGATGGAGTGAGGAAATCTCTCTCTGATCTGAAAGAGAGACTAGAGGAATTCTGCAAGGAGGAGTTCAGTAAAGTCTCTCCACATGGTAAGAGGAGCTTCTGCTGGGACACAGTGACGGGCTAACTTCATCAGTGACAGACTAATGAAAATTGATAATACACAAACATGTACACACACACACACACACACACACACACACACGCTCACACACTCACACACACATACACACACACACACACACACACACACACTGAAATCTTGCTATAATGGGGTGAAAGTCAGTCAGCAGTTTTCTGAAGCTGCACAGAAATGATGTAATATGCCTTTGATAGTCTTACTGAGAGAGAGAGAGAGAGAGAGAGAGAGAGAGAGAGAGAGAAAGAAACTTTCTACAAAACATTAACTGATCCCAAGTCCTTTATTTATAGAATATCACTCTTTATGTTGTGATAATCATTTATTTTTTTCCTTATCTTTTTTCTGCATTCAGCTCCTTCATTCATTCTGTTCAATCAGTGTGTTTGTGTGTCTCCACAGCTGCAGCAGTTCAGACCATCTTATCCTCAGAGCCAAAAACCAGAGAAGATTTTCTACAGTGTATGAACAACACACACACACACACACACACACACACACACACACACACATACACACACACACACACACACACACACACTCACACACACACACTCACACACACACACACACGCACACACACACACTCACACACACACACAGACACACACACACACACACACTCACACACACACACTCACACACACACACACACACAGACACACACACACACACACACATTCACACACACACACACAGACACACACACACACACACACACACTCACACACTCACACACACACACACACACTCACACACACACACACACAGATATTAATTTAGACAGTATAGTTTCCTGATTTAATGTTTCCTTTTAAATCAGAATAAACCTTAAACAGCCAGGAAGACGCAGCATTTTAGGTCACTGATGACAAAATGATGTTTGGAGGTTTAAATATGATCACAGCATTTTTCCCTTGTTGGTCATTAAACAATCAAAATACTCTACATTTGTATTTTATATTTATACTGTTTTGTATTTTTGTAACAAAATAGAAATGTAGAAATAACAACTGAGAAGCATATTTTATTCATCATGAATTCATTCTGTGAATAAACACCTGAAATGTGTTTTTATATTATTTTAGATTTCTGTCGACTGACTCTGGATCCCAACACTGTAAATCATGACCTCAGTCTGTCTGAGCAGAACAGAGTGGTGAAGTACAGAGGAGGAGAGCAGCGTTACTCTGACCATCCAGAGAGATTTGAGCACTGGCCTCAGGTGTTGTGTAAGGAGAGTGTGAGTGGACGCTGTTACTGGGAGGTCGAAAGGAGAGGTTGGGTGATCATATCAGTGTCATATAAAAGGATCAGCAGGAAAGGACGGGGTGATGAGAGCAGGTTTGGACACAACAATCAGTCCTGGAGTCTGGACTGTTTTAACACTCTCACTTTCTGGCACAACAGCATTAAGACTGAGCTCTCAGCTTCATCATCCTCCAGAATAGGAGTGTATGTGGATCACAGTGCAGGAACTCTGTCCTTCTACAGCGTCTCTGACACAATGACCCTCCTACACACAGTCCACACCACATTCACTCAGCCGCTCTACGCTGGGTTCTGGGTTGGTGGTGGAACTGTGAGGTTATGTGATCTGAAATGAGTGTCTGTTGTATATGATGGATACTTTTCAGGTAAATTCATAAATGATTTATATTCATGCCATCAGACTAAATCAATCAAATTATATTTATGTATAGATTTTTTATGGATTTGACAATAATGCATGTAAAAGCCAATTAAACTGAAAACACAGAGAGTGAGAGAGAGAGAGAGAGAGAGAGAGAGAGAGAGAGAGATAGAGAGAGAGAGAGAACTTGATCTGACTTTTCTAGTTAGTTAAAATGTAATCTGTATCTTAATCCCAAGAATCATTCATCTAAATTTACCAAATCTGATTACTCTCTTCCTTTTGGACTGTTTGTCTTCTAAACCGTGTGTTGTGTTCAGAGGAAATCAGCTTCAATAAGATGAATCTCATTGTGTTTGTTAATAAACAGTGTGTTGTCTGTATTAAGAGGACTTGTGTGTATTTAGAGACGCCCTTTTTATCAGGATTGTCTTTTCCTGTAAGATTCTCCACAAGGGGGAGCTATTAGCACTCAAGTAAGTTTTAGTGGTAAGAAACTAATGGCTGTATACAGTCATATAAAGGGCTGGTTTGGGCTGTAGAGGTTGCTGATGACGTCACTATAAACACACTGAAGACACTTGATCAGCATGTTAGTAAACACTGTACTGTAAAACGAATGATCGTCTATGGACGAAATGTCAACATCCCCAAAAATACAGATATAACTATAATATGCTGATGTGTTCTGTGTTTTCCTGAAACAGTATCCAATTTATGGTTTGTGGTAACACATTTAAAGAGTAAATATCCCTGTAGAATTTTTCTTTTTTGATTAATACAACCTAATCTAGCCTATCTATTTCATAGAGATCCCCACAGGACCCCCGCAGGACCACCACAGAGCAGGTACTATTTGGGTGGTGGGTCATTCTCAGCACTGCAGTAACACTGACGTGGTGGTGGTGTGTTAGTGTGTGTTGTGCTGGTCTGAGTGGATCAGACACAGCAGTGCTGTGTCGCTGCTGGACTGAGAATAGTCCACCAACCAAAAATATCCAGCCAACAGCGTCCTGTGGGCAGCGTCCTGTGACCACTGATGAAGGACTAGAGGATGACCAACACAAACTGTGCAGCAGCAGATGAGCTATCGTCTCTGACTTTACATCTACAAGGTGGACTGACAAGGTAGGAGTGTCTAATAGAGTGGACAGTGAGTGGACACAGTGTTTAACAACTCCAGCAGCACTGCTGTGTCTGATCTGCTCGTACCAGCACAAAACACACTTACTGTACACACACTTACTGCAGTGCTGAGAATGATCCACCACCCAAATAGTACCTGCTCTGTGAGGGTCCTGACCACTGAAGAACAGGGTAAAAGGGGGCTAACAATGTATCAGAGAAACAGATGGACTACAGTCTGTAACTGTAGAACTACAAAGTGCACCTATATAGTAAGTGGAGCTGATAAAATGCATTATGATCAAACGGGCAGCCAGATTAGACAATGTTCCTTTATAAAAAACATCAGGTACACTATTAATTTATTAGACAGTAATATATGACTTAATTGTGTCCTTCAACATAAGCTGAAGTTAGCAAGGTTAATCTACCTGTTACATTAGTGTTTTAGATTCTTTCTATTTGGTGTTTACTTTTTTATAGAGATTTTGTTAGATAATTTAAATAATAACTAAATATCTCCACCAGATGTGCTACTGTTTTTGGAAATGTTACTATTTTGTCATGAACTAAACATGAAAGTAGTGCCTGATAGCTAGCATTTGATAACAGTGGCTGAAAAACTAAGAAATGATAAGAAAATGAAAGGAATTGTACCAAATCTGTTTGGTCTTATTTATACTACATTGTTTTTTGGTGTATTGCATATGTAATGTGCTTTTTGTGATGACAGCAATCCCGTATTTCAGTAGATCAGGGCCAGTTCAGCTGTCCAGTCTGTCTGGATCTGCTCAAGGATCCAGTGACTATTCACTGTGGACACAGTTTCTGTATGGTGTGTATTAATGGCTGCTGGGATCAGGAGGATCAGAGGGGGGTCTACAGCTGCCCCCAGTGCAGAGAGACCTTCACTCCGAGGCCTGTTCTACACAGAAACAACATGATGGCTGAAATGTTGGAGAAAATGAAGAAGCCAGAACTCCAAGCTGCTCCTCCTGCTCACTGTTACGCTGGACCTGGAGATGTGGAGTGTGATTTCTGCACTGGGAGAAAACTCAAAGCCGTCAAGTCATGTTTGGTATGTCTGGCGTCTCTTTGTGAAACTCATCTTAAACCTCATCTGGAAATTCCAGCCTTGATCAAACACAAGCTGGTCGAAGCCTCCACACGACTACAGGAGAAGATCTGCTTTCAACATGACAAACTGATGGAGATCTACTGCCGTACTGACCAAAGCTGCATCTGTTATTTGTGTACGATGCATGACCACAAAGGCCACAATACAGTTGCAGCTGCAGCAGAGAGAACCGAGAAACAGGTGAGAAATAGATATATTTTAGAATCAGTTGTGGAGGTATAATGAATATATTACTATTATAATCAATAAGAAATCCATAATCATATACTAAAAGTTCAGTGACAAAAAGTGTATTAATGCTCTCACTAAGCAAAGGCCATGCTGTGTGAAAGTCAGGGGATTTCGCAATGGAGAGTCCCTAAAGTTCAGAAGCTTCTAGTGCTAGTGTGCTTTGTTGCAAGAACAAGCTGGCCTGTGAGAGGGGAGGTAAAGCTGATAGGAAACTAGACAGTATCAGTGTTGGAACCAGTTTAAAAAGATAAAAATTTAATTAAAAACCATGAAAGGATGGGGGCAGCTTAGGATAGCTGAGCATGCAAGTTTTTAAAAAATCAAGGACACGTGCGGTTGGAAATAAGGGTTTCCAACTGAAGTGTAAAAATAGGAAATAATGGGAACCAAAGTGAAATGAGAAAAGGTGAGAGGGAGGGGGCGATTGCTTCATCGCCCCCAAACAGGGTATGAAAAATGATGTTTCTGTATTGTGCATTGCATTTGGCTGTCCGGGAGCCATCTTGCCCCCTGAAGCTCAATAAATGAAGAGTGGGCCTTTTCCTTTCTTCACAAAGAACTCAACGGCTCAAGTCTTTTATTCAACTTTCTTTTGTTTTTGACTGAACTTTATTTTATTTTGCGTTAATGATGAGAACAAGCAACTAGATTTATTAATAAACCAAAACATAGTTATAGAACAGATTAGTTTAATTTTATCCATACGTTGGGGCTCTGAGCGAGTGGGAATCGCACTTCGTGCTGATTCTGTTTCTGTACTGGTGCTTTATTCCTGTATGAAGTGGATAAGAAAGTGGTAGATTACTTTTTTTTTCAGCGATGCTGCAAAACTAGTTGTAGTCCATAAACATTTTGCCAGCCAACACCCGTCTTTTAGCCTCTCTACAGATTAATACAGAGCACACAGTCTCAGAACTGTACAGAACAATATGAACCCTTAAGTCTTTTGCTACTATTACTATTCAAATGCTGCAATTTTAGTTTGGTTGATATTTTTGCCTCTAGTCTCAGCTGAAGAAGATTCAGAGGAAATTCAGTCGGAGACTCCAGCAGAAAGAGACGAAGCTGCGGGAGCTGAAACAGGCTGTGGTCACTCTTAAGGTGAGTAGTGGGCAGAGATCTGCTGGAGCAGCTGTTTCACAGCTCACTCAGACTCTCCTCCAGTCAGACAGTGAGGAGTCCAGTGTTGGACACTTTGGGATCCTACACAGCCACAATGTGGACAGTCAGTCATCTAGAGTCCCAGTGAGAGAGTGAATGATAGCTGGTGTTTAAATGGAGCTCCATCTTGTGTGTCTGTGTCCTAACAGCGCTCTGCACAGGCAGCAGTGGAGGACAGTGAGAGGATCTTTACTGAGCTGATCCGCTCCATTGAGAAAAAGCGCTCTGAGGTAACAGAGCTGATCAGAACTCAGGAGAAGAACCAGCTGAGACAAACTGAAGAACTCCTGGAGAACCTGCAGCAGGAGATTGATGATCTAAAGAGGAGAAACACTGAGCTGGAGCAGCTTTCAGTCACAGAGGATCACATCGATTTTCTCCAGGTAACCATCACTCACCTACAGAGGAACCTGCTCCTCAGAGAGGCTCTAAAATGGCTCTTCATTAAAAGAATAAGCCAGTAATTTTCAAACTGCTGCATCCAGATTGTTCTGTCGATTATCACAGACAATAAGATCATCTTTTACTCTTATAGACCTTCATCATTCTGTTGTGTCTCTGTAGAGTTTCCAGTCTCTGAGAGTCTCTTCTGGATGTGAGGACTCCTCCAGCATCACTGTCCATCAACATCCCTCATTTGATGGAGTGAGGAAATCTCTCTCTGATCTGAAAGAGAGACTAGAGGAATTCTGCAAGGAGGAGTTCAGTAAAGTCTCTCCACATGGTAAGAGGAGCTTCTGCTGCAAATGACACATTTTATCCCACTTTAAACATCATTTTAATCTCCTTCATTCATTCTGTTAAATCAGTGTGTTTGTGTGTCTCCACAGCTGCAGCAGTTCAGACCATCTTATCCTCAGAGCCAAAAACCAGAGAAGATTTTCTACACTGTATGTACAACACACACACACACACACACACACACACACACACTCACACATAATCTCACACATACACACACACAGATATAAACACACACACACACACACACACACACATACAGATATTAATTTAGACAGTATAGTTTCCTGATTTAATGTTTCCTTTTAAATCAGAATAAACCTTAAACAGCCAGTAAGAAGCAGCCTTTTAGGTCACTGATGACAAAATGATGTTTGGAGGTTTAAATATGATCACAGCATTTTTCCCTTGTTGGTCAATAAACAATCAAAATACTCTACATTTGTATTTTATATTTATACTGTATTTGTATTTTTGTAACAAAATAGAAATGTAGAAATAACAACTGAGAAGCATATTTTATTTATTGTTAATTCATTCTGTGAATAAACACCTGAAATGTGTTTTTATTATTTTAGATTTCTGTCGACTGACTCTGGATCCCAACACTGTAAATCATCAACTCAGCCTGTCTGAGCAGAACAGAGTGGTGAAGCACAGAGGAGGAGAGCAGCGTTACTCTGACCATCCAGAGAGATTTGAGCACTGGCCTCAGGTGTTGTGTAAGGAGAGTGTGAGTGGACGCTGTTACTGGGAGGTCGAGTGGAGTGATTGGGTGTTCATATCAGTGTCATATGAAGGGATCAGCAGGAAAGGACTGGGTAATGAGTGCAGGTTTGGATGCAACAATCAGTCCTGGAGTTTGGACTGTTCTAATTTTCTCTCCTTCTGGCACAACAACATTAAGACTGAGCTCTCAGCTCCATCACCCTCCAGAATAGGAGTGTATGTGGATCACAGTGCAGGATCTCTGTCCTTCTACAGCGTCTCTGACACAATGACCCTCCTACACACAGTCCACACCACATTCACTCAGCCGCTCTACGCTGGGTTTGGAGTCGGTGTTGATGAGTTTGGTACAGGAACTGTAAGATTATGTGATCTGAAATGAGTGTCTGTTGTATATGATGGATACTTTTCAGGTAGATTCATAAATGATTTACATCAAACCAATGAAATTATCAAAATACTTTTCTAGTTGTGATGTAAACATGCTGCAAAGGACAGAGTTGTCCTGTATTTTGGTGTAAATTACTGATCACCTGTTAAAATGTAATC